AACAGATTGGGAACAATGCCGTGTTGTTGAAACCACCCCATGGCTCCTTGTTGCTCTTGGCATCAAATCTTAACACATAACCCTACTGGCAGGGTATTTCTGGGCTGTCACTCCTTTCCTAGCTCAGGTGGGGCAGCCCCGGTAACTGCCTCCTGCCTCGGTATTTGCCTCCACTTCCTGTCTGCTGGAGTGTACACTCTTCCCCTACCTGCAAGTATTTGATCCACCTTCATCCTGCAGGGGCCAGCTCAGCTGCCTCCTCCTCAGCTGTTCTCTCTCCATCCTGGTAACCATCTTTCGTGGCTGGTGTGTAGCTTGGTGCTGCCTCCCCTGTGGGCTAGACACTCTTTGGTAGGGACTAGTGCCACTTGGTGCTTAGAAACATTTGTTGACTTCTGCAAACATTTTTCTGGACATCATGGTCCAGTATTCCCTAGCAGTGGCAGAGCAAGTGGCTTTTGTTCCCTGTGGCAGACTGATAATAACTCACAAAGATAAGATCACCTCCTACACTTGGAACGTGCAAATGTGACCTTGTTTAGAAAAAGAGTCCTTGCAAGTGCAATTAATTTAAGGAGTGTGGGATAGGGAGATTATACTGGAGTATCTAGGTGGTTCCCTCATCCAGTCTCAGTGTTTTGTTTTGTTTTTGGTACTGGGGATCAAACTTGGGTCCTTGCACTTGCGCAGCAGGCGGCGAAACCACTGAGCTAAATCCCCGGCCCTCAGTGTTCTCATTAGATGGAGACAGATTAGATGTATCCCTGAGAAGACAGAGCCAGGGTCAGAGAGATGTGGCCACAAGCCAAGGATGGCCCCCTTCCCAGCCCCCTTATTTGGAAGAGGCAGGAAGGCCCCTCGCCTGGAGCCTTCAGAGGGAACACAGTCCTGTCCATGCCTTGATTGTGGACTTCTGTCTTTAGAATTGTGAGAGAGTAAATTCCTATTCTTTTCAGCCACTCCCCCCCCCTTTTAATAATTTGTTACAGCAGCCACAGGAAACTAATACAAAGGGTATGGTTGGGAATCTTATAATGCTTTCATTTTACACATCTATTGATGTGTAAAATGTGTAAAATGTGTAAAATATTTTACACATTATTTTACACATCATATTTTAATTTTAATTTATTTTTAGACTGTGTAGGTTTCTTTTCAATTTAGTGTCCTTAAAGCACAGCTTTATTGAGATAGAATTTATGTACCATGCAACCTGTCTGTAGAGCGCTGTGAGCTCCCCAGTGTGGGAACATGGGCCTCCTTAGTGGCCACATCCTGTCTGCTACTCTTAAATGGGTCTTGCCAGCCCCATCCTATCCCTGTGTCCCATGTTCCTTTGTTGGGGGCACATCAGCATTTATATCTGAAGTTACCAAGGATTGGGGTTAAGGGTTTGTAGTAGCCTGTGGCTCTCAATGGCCCAGCTCCACTCATACCCACTGGTTATCTCAGAAGTCCTGCCAGCCTGTGCTGGAACACTGTGCCAAGAAACCCTCCACAAGGACCTCAGCTTGGGATCTTCATGGTGTCTGGGTCAGGGAGGGGTGGGGACAGTGTCAGACTACCACAGAGGAACAGTGGGGTGGGGGGCTCCTGTTTCCCAGGACCTCCGAACATTAGCAACCAACCTTGAGTGGCACTGATTTCATCCCAGGAGCTGTGATCTGCCTATTCTCTGTCCATGTGATCCTCCTAGGAGCCAGGACAATTCCATGTTGCTTGTGCCTCAGGTTCAGAGAGTTTAAGAAACCTACCAGAGGTCACACAATAAGTAGGACAATAAATAAACAGCTGAATGACTCTTGACCCTGGAGCGAGCCCCCTGCCCAAGGAGGCTCCCTCTCATTTGTCATCCCTTCTCTTGGTCATAGGCCCTAATTTGGACCCAGACATCCTGATGTTGGGGATGGAAAAGTAGAGGATTTAGTGCAGGGGCCTGTGAGGGCTTCCTGGGGGAGGCAGCACTTGCTTCCAGGGCCCAGATGGTTTGCAGCTTGTTACCCTCTGGGTGATTTTTCTCCTCCTCTAGTAACTCCCTGCCACCCTTCTAGCAGACACTCAGAGCAGCCTTGCCCAGCCCACCCTACCTGCTGACTTGCCAGCTTTGCCAAGGAAGCTGTGAGGTCAGGGCAGCTCCGGGCATGGGAGAGGGTAGGTATGAGGACACGCCCCTGCCAGGCGTGGGCTGGGAGTCTGGTGGAGCAGGTTCCCAGGAGGAGCAGAGGTTCAGCAGAGGCAGAGGCCAGGGCGAGTGGGGCAAGAGCAGAATTGGGCATCCGGAGGCAGAATGTTGAACAAAGGCACAACCAAGGGCACAGGCTTGGCGTCCACACTGGGGTACGTGGGGCTGCAGGGGCACGGGCCAGGGGCAGAAGGACCTCAGGGCAAAAGGCCCAGATTGGGGCTGGAGGCTGGGGAAATGGAATGTAGGACATGGCCAGGGGTCTGGGGGTCAAGATCGGGAAGGGCCTGGGGCTGAAGGGTGACAGGTTGGACATGGGGGCTCAGAGCAGAGAGGCAGCCTGGTTCTCCCCTAACTGTACTGTGTGCCTTTCTGGGCATCACTTCTCCATGACAGACAGGCCCTGGGGAAGCATCCAGCATCCAGACCCCTGCCCTTCCCAGAGAAGCCCCCTCTGGGAGGCAGCCATGTTGGGAGAAGGGGACCAGGCTGTCACCTGGGTCACCGGGGTTGTGATCAGTGTGTGTCTGGGAATGGGGGTTCGGGAGGCAGGAACTGAGTCTTTGATTTCAGTTTCCAAAAGCTATATTCCCTGCTCATTGCTGGTTCTGGAAGAATTACATGCTCACTGCAGAAAATCTAGAAGCAACAGAAAGACATTAAAGATCAGAGCACAATTGATTGGCACACGGTCCCAGTGTTGGTGGAGGGAGAGGTCTGTGGGGCCACACAGACCAGGGCTGAACCCATCATAGCAGCAGTGAGGAAGACAAATCAGGTGGCTTCTCGGAGCTGAGGTTTTCTCAGCCTGTGAGCTTTAAACAAAGTGATGCTTGTCTAAACAAAACAAAACAAAACAAAACCGAAAAAAAAAAAAAAACCCTCAGCTTCAAATGGCTGCTTGTCTTCCAGCCTTTGTTCCAAGCTGTACTCCTGCCCGGTGGGAAACTCCTGGCTCCCCTGGGCTGTCCATCAGCCCAGCTGCATCTAGTTTCTCAAAATCAGCCCCAAGGGGCCTTTGAATGTGCTGGTCCCAAATCCTGAATCCCTTTCCTGACTCTCTACTGTGGACCTAACAGCTGCTGGGTCCCTGGCCAGGCTCTGCAAGGAACCTTCGGGGTACTGAGCCTGCCTATAATTACAGTTGTGTACCATGACATAATTGAGGTTCCAACTGCATCTAGCCATGGGCCCATAAGGTTAGAACACAGCTAGGTGTGCAGGAGTCTGTGTCATCTCAGTTTGTGTGAGCCTATGCTGTGCTGCTGGCACAAGGACAGGACTGCCTCATAATGCCTTTCTCGGCATGCATCTTATTAAGCAATGAAGGACATCATTTATGTTCTTCGAGGGCTGGTAGAGTCTGGGGTGGCCCCTGCCCTAGGAAACCCTGGGTGCTTCTTCCCTGCTGTGGGCCTGAGGCAGGAGCTGCCATCAAGCCCCAGCCAATGGGGATTTTAGGGTCCTCAGCCCCTGTCTGTCTGTCAAGCAGACTCTTCTGGCACCTCAATTATTTTACCAAGCACCAGGTGTTCACAGTGAGGATACAGCAGTATTACCTACCTCAGCTGGTAAAGGTGGCCACACTAGGAACAGGGTTCTGGCTCAGACACCAGGACCTCTGGGGTCCCCAGTTCACCCCAGACCCCTGAGACATTCAGGCCCATGAAGGCTTCTGGTCCTTCTTGGGCAGAGATATGGAGGGGGCCCCTCCCAGGCTGGCTTCAGGGAAGGCACTGGACGGGACCCCTTTAAGCCCGAGCCAGGAAGTGCACCTCCTTGGAGGACACATCTTCCCTGGCACTTCCTGCATCCTTCATCCTCCTCTGTGCCAGAGTGACGGCCACGCTTCAACAGGGAAGGTCTGTGAGTCAAATGAGGTTGCCAGAGGTGGGGCTGCCACAGGGTGTGGGGTGGATGGATGATGTCCCCAAAAGTGAGGGTAGCCCCAACCACCCAACTCATGCCACCTGTCCAGTAGGACAGACCCCTTTGAGGACACAGTGCGGCGGCTGCGGGGGGCCTTCAACTTGGGGTGGACACGGCCAGCCGCATTCCGGTTGGCGCAGCTGGAGGGCCTGGGCCGGTTCCTGCGGGAAAAGAAGCAGCTGCTGCAGGATGCACTGGTCGAGGACCTGCAGAAGGTGACTGAGGTTGGGGGGGCGGTGTCCGGACAGGAGCAGTCCTTTCTATTTTTTTTCCAGTACCAGGGATCAAACTCAGAACCTTGCACTTGTGAGGCAGGCATAGCACCACTGAGCTAAATCTCCCACCCTGCTGTGTCCTTTCTAAGCCAGGGCCACATCCTCCATAATATCCCTGTCCCCCTAATGAGGGTCTTTGTGCCTTGACATGACTGGCTGTATTTCCAAATTTATTTCTGTTTTTGTTTTAAAAATTTTTTTTTCCCCCTGGTACAGGGGGTTGAACTCAGGACCTTGTGCTTACAAGGCAGGTCCAGTGCCACTGAGCTAAATCCCCAGTCCTATTTCTGTTTTTTAACAAACGCTTCCCTACCAGTTAGTGTGTCACAGCCACATTACAATATGAACTCAGGAGCATGCACAGCCACCCTGCTTTGATTGCTGTTCCCAGGTTACAAGCACTTGGGAAACCGAGGCACTCGGTGCTAATTCACTTGGCCAAGGTCACAAGTGGAACTGGAGTGCAGGCAGCCAGAGTCTAGGCTCCCAACCCTGCACATTTCCTGCAGGACCACTGTGATGCCTGTGAGACCCACTGGTGCCCTCCCCACACACTGGACCCCTGGCCGGCCAGGAGCCTGACCTCCTATTCCACCTCCCCCACAGTCACCCTTGGAGTCAGACATATCTGAGCTTATTCTATGCCAGAATGAGGTGGATCTGGCCCTCAAGAACCTGCAGGCCTGGATGAAGGACGAACCGGCAAGCACGAACTTGGTGAGCCCCACTAGCCATGTAGTAGTAGAAGGAGGGGTTCTCCCTAACACCAGGGAGAATCAGTCTTTTCTCCAGGGATTCCATCACCTAGGGAGCCAAGGAGCGAAGTATAGGGTGGGGTGGGGCTTGGGGTAGTCCTTGGCAGGGTCTCACGGTCCTTCCTGCACTCCAGCTCACAAAGATGGACTGTGCCTTCATCCGGAAGGAGCCATTTGGCCTGGTGCTCATCATTGGCCCCTGGAACTACCCTGTGAACCTGACCTTGGTGCCTCTGGTGGGGGCCATTGCAGCCGGTGAGGAGAGGGTCCCAGGTCCTATGCCCTCCCAGCCCAGCAGCCCTGCACAAAGAGGGCCCTAGAGTCCCACAGTTTTAGTACTCTCTGAGTGCAGCCCCTGGAGAGTATGAGAATACCTGCCTCTCTCACTGCTGCCCCACTGCCTCTGCAGGGAACTGCGTGATACTGAAGCCATCAGAAAAAAGCAAGGGCACAGAGAAGGTGCTGGCTGAGGTGCTGCCCCAGTACCTGAACCAGGTGAGGGTCCCCTGGCCCTTCAACACCCAACATCCCCATGCCCCTGGCCCTGCTGGCTGAGACATTCCTATGCCCTGGACCTGCCCCCTGAGCTACCTGTCCATCTTGCAGAGCTGCTTTGCCGTGGTGGTGGGTGGGCCTGAGGAGACCCAGAAGCTGCTGGAGCACAAATTTGACTACATTTTCTTCACAGGTGAGGATGGCACTGGCCAACGTCCTGGGGCAGGAAACAGCATAGGACAAGGGTGGGAGGAAAGTGGAAGGAGCAGGCTGTAGTCTGGGGGTAAGGAACAAATCAAGAGCTGGAGATGTCCCAGAAATAATCAGCAGGCAGGCTGACCATGAGCCCCGGGAGTCTTGGAGAGATTGGATCTAGTGATGGCTGGGCTGAAGACATCCAGTGGGTAGGGCAGGCCAGGAGCTAGGCCATGAAGAGCCTCTGTGGAAGAAGAGGGGCAAGAGTCATGTGCCTGGACCATCTAGCCCAGTGATGGCGAACCTTTTAGAGTTCTCAGTGATACAAACAGCCCTCTGCCGGCCTGTGTGCCACAGGTTCGCCACTACTACTGATCTAGTCAGTTGAGAATGAGGTCTTCTGACCATGTCCCCAGGGAACCCTCGTGTAGGCAAGATTGTCATGGCTGCTGCCGCCAAGCACCTGACGCCCGTCACCCTGGAGCTGGGGGGCAAGAACCCCTGCTATGTGGATGACAACTGTGACCCCCAGACTGTGGCCAACCGCCTGGCTTGGTTTCGCTACTTCAACATGGGCCAGACCTGTGTGGCTCCTGATTACGTCCTGTGCAGCCCAGACATGCAGGAGCGGCTGCTTCCTGCCTTGCAGAATGCCATCACCCGTTTCTATGGTGACGACCCCCAGAACTCCCCCAACCTGGGCCGCATCATCAACCAGAAACATTTCAAGCGGCTCCAGGAACTGCTGAGCTGTGGCCGCGTGGCCATCGGTGGTCAGAGTGATGAGAGCAATCTCTACATCGGTGAGCACCCTTCTTCTGATTCCAAAGTGCAAATGCTCCAGCTCACTGTGGTTCTGAGCCTGTGACTCCCTGATTCTAAACCCTGGTCCCACAGCTCCAGATCTGTTGAGCTCAGACCCCAGTTCTTGGGGACCAATGTATGATTTAAAGGACCTCCATCCCATCATCTGCTGTCCCTTGAGGAAATGATCCCAGATCCTCAGATCCTAGGAGCCTGGTGTCCTGGGAGGTCAGACCCTGGGACTCTCTGGCCTGGAATCCAGTCCTGGTCCTGCACCCAGGGGTGTCCCGGCTATGCACAAGGCTGAGCTGCCCCTGTGTCCGCAGCACCCACAGTGCTGGTGGACGTGCAGGAGACGGATAAGGTGATGCAAGAGGAGGTCTTTGGGCCCATCCTGCCCCTGATGACTGTGAGGAGCCTGGATGAGGCCATCGACTTCATCAACCGTCGGGAGAAGCCGCTGGCCCTGTACGCCTTCTCCAACAACAGTCAGGTGGGGCCCAGTGGGCTGCAGGTGACAGAGGGGCCAAAATGGATATAGACTGCCCAGATTCCCTTTCACAGCCCTCTGGGGAAGGGCTTTAGGATAGCAGTCATCTTATGGGTGACTGTGATCCTGGATGCTTAGTACCATTATGTCCTGCACAAGGTTGCCCAGCAGAGGGCTTTGGGCAGGGTGGCCAGCTGTCTGTCCTGGCCCAGGTGGGCTCCCTCTGCAGAAAGAAGTGCTCTAGGGACCCTCCTTTTCCTGTACCATGCAAAGATTCTCCATGGTGAGCAGAGACCCCAAATGGGGTTGGGGGCTGGCACAAGGCTGGGACCCCACAGGCTGGTCCCAGTGGGGCCTATTCACTTTCCTACAATGTCCCAACCATACTGCCAGGCCTCAAGTTATAGGCTCCCCTTGATGCTTCAGGGTTTCCTCTGTGTTTGCATGCTGCTTGTAGCAACCACACCACATCCAATCCATCCCTGAGAAGGCATCATCCCTTCCAGGGTGCTTAGATGGGAGGGGATTGCTCAGTGAAGGTTATCTGGGGGAAGCGCTGGAGATCCAGTGGCCTCTCTGCTCCCCTGTGGGATGTGACCAGTCTCCAGCCTTCCTCCCCGATGACAGGAGCCCGCTTCCATGCCTCTCCCATTTCCCCAGGTAGTGAGCCAGGTCCTGGACCGGACCAGCAGCGGCAACTTTGGAGGCAATGATGGCTTCCTGTATATGACTCTGCTATCCCTGCCATTTGGAGGGGTCGGTGAGTCCCTGCCCATCCTTACTGTCCAGATCCCCATCCCACTCCCCCTGGGAGGCTCGGCTCACATCTGGAAGTCTTTTGACTTGCTGTTTGACTTTGGGCCTCTTCAAGGCCTCAGTTTCCCTATCTGTAAAATGCTTTGTAGAATTGCCTGGCTCCTTGAGCTCACTGCCAGCTGTGGGCTGCTGCTGGGGCTAACATCGGGGCCGGACAGAGTCCTGGCCTCAGACACTCACTTCCTGTGCCCATACAGGCAAAAGTGGCACGGGCAGGTACCACGGCAAGTTCTCCTTCAACACCTTCTCCAACCACCGTGCCTGCCTGATCTCTCCCTCGGGCCTGGAGAAGCTCAATGAGATCCGATACCCACCCTATAGTTCCCAGGCCCAGAAGCTGCTGAGGTGGGCCATGAGCTCCCACAGCTGCACTCTTCTGTGATCACCTGCCCATCTCTGGCACCCACCAGGGATGCCTGCCTCCTGCTGCTGGTGGCTGCCCAGCTCCTGACCTGCCCTGAGCTGCCAGATGCTGCCCATCTGCTCAGTGGTCCTTGAAAGGCAGGTGTCCAGCCCAGGCCATGAAGAACCCACTCTTGGGGCTTTTTCTGTACAGACCTCCAGCTAGCCAGGACCTCTGGGTGGCTGGGCCAGTCCCTTTCTATACCTAAGTCCCCTCTGTAGCCTCCTGTCCATCTGCCTAGATAGGTTTGGTGATGGGAAACCCCTGTGCCCCAAAGCTTGGAAGATTCTACAGCTAGAGAAGACTATAAATAGATGTATAAACAGGCAGAGCTAATAACTCCATGCACACCTGATGTCATCTGATCTGAAATCTAGATCTGGCCGATTGGTGGAATCTGCCTGGAGTGTGTCACTAACAAGCATTCTGATGCTGTGTGGGGGACCAAGGGGAGGGAGTGCCAGGCTCAGTCACGATGTCTGCAGTGGGCACAGGCAGGCAGATGTGGACACGGTGGCCCCACCTGTCCTCCCTGCTCTCAGCTCCCAGAAGGTGGCCTGGGGTGGCAGACTCTAATACTGATGACTTCATCTGACATATGGGGAAACTGAGGTCTGAAGGCAGGACAGTGGTGAGCTGAGTTCACAGGGGAAAGCAGGACAGAGCTGAGTGATGGCAGACTTACTGGGAAACATGGGGATGGGGATCAGTGTACAGCAGGTGACCCCTGAGCTGTTCCTGCCAGACCTCCAGGTGGACCCCAGAGGGTTTTCAGTGTGCTCCCGAGAACACAGAGAGATATCACTCCTGCCAGAGTGCTGTGGACTGACATCTGGGCCCTCCACACCCAGTTAAGACTCTTTTTATTGGACAGTGAGATTCATGAAGGCAGAAATAGGGTCTAGTTTGCTGGGGTGTCCCCAGTACCACAACATTGATTCCATGGGGCTGCTTATGAATGAAGAATGAATGAATGAAGTGGGTGTGGGGTGTTGGGGGAGAAGGGAGAGATGGTGCCAACTTGTCTTTGCTGCCTCCTACCCACACTCCTTCCCAACCAGGCCACAAACCCTCTGAAAGGGGGCTTAGCGTCCCCACTCAGGTGGTCTCAAACCAGGCCCCAGCCCCGAGAATCAGACTAACTGTCGAAGCATTGGGGCAGGCCCTGTGTCCGAATCTCTCCAACTTGGCATGCTCAGAATTCAACTCCCAGTGGATTCCTCAAGCAGGTCTCTCTCTCTCCCTGTCCCTGTGTCTGGGCCGGCCTCCCCACCTTCCTAGAACTTTCCCAGTACCCCAGCCCCCACATGTCAAATCATCAGCCTGTTCTGTCCCTTCTACTCTGCCTGTGTAGGAGGCAACTCCTGAATCAGGGCACGTCTCAGCAGAGGTGGAGACATCACTATTTCCTCTGCCCATCCCCTCCTGGCTGCCTGCCTGGGATTGGATTCCACACAGCAGCAAAGCACCCCTTGAGAAAGCCCCAGACTTTTAACAAGCAGTTCCTCAGGACCAAGCACTTGGCAAGGCCCTGCAGGGCAGACCCCGTGCCACTGTGTCCCCCTGCCTCTCAAAGCTAGTTTTGGAACTTGATGGTGTGAGCTGCCCTTGGGAAGAGAAGGCCAGGTGAGTGGCTGCAGATACCCCTGGGTCTGGGATGTGAACTTGGGGGCCCCCAGCAAGTAGATGGGAGGCATTGCAGATGGGATGGATGGAGAAGGACCTAGGCCCTAGCTGGGTTACCCACAGTTAGAGGCAGCCCAGAGAAGCTAGTGGAGGAGGCCGAGGGTGTCATTTCTCTGAAGGGGTGTCCAGAAGGCTGGAGTACTCAGTAGAGCGGGGACACGGGGTGAGGCTGCAAGGACCTGGATGAGGACAGCATCTTTGGTGACGCGGAGAGAAAGGCTGGCCAGAGGCAGTGAGCAGGGACCAAGGCCAGACTCAGAACTTGGTCCACAGGGTGGACGGTGGGGAGTGGGGTCCAAAGTCAATGAGCCAGTGACCCTTGGGAGTGACTCCTAGGCCACAAGCCCCTCATGGGTCAAGCTTTACAAATGTGGGATGGCTGAAGTTCGGACCCCCTTCTGAGCCTCGGTTTCCTCAACTGAAGTGAAGATGTTGGATTCACTGATACCCAAGGTGTCACTGTCCTGAGTTTGCACCCATCCCAGGATACTCTGCCTGCCCCTTGCTCACCACTCCTTACCGCTGCCTAGGCTAGGAGAACCTCACCTGTTTCCCAGGCGGGAGCTAAGGCCCAGGGAGGGCATTGACTCTCTCCAGGCCACAAAGCCTGTTAGGGATGGCTGAGTTAGAACCATTCTACAAACACCCACCAAAATAGGGAAGCTAGACTCCAGCCAAGGACTGTGAAACCTTCCAGCACCACTGCCCTCTCAGAGGTAGGGGGTCCAGCACCTGGTGGCAGGAATCACCAGTGGTCCCCAGCAACCTCCAAAATAGCTAAGTGTACTGGGCAGGCTGTTCTTTCCCCAGAGGCCCCAAATGTGTCTGCAGGATCTCAGCAGCCTGAGTGGGCCATTAGGACAAAGACCAAGGCTTCAGATTCAAATAGCAGGGCTGGAGGTCCCTGCCCAGAACAGAGAAGGGGCTGGCAGGGGGTAGTGGACTCATCTACTGACTCACTCACTGCACCACCACTTAGCACTTGCAGGGCAATGTCTCTACCAGGTCATTCTATCTCCTGAAGCCTTAGCCAGCTGCCCACAAGGCAGCTGCTGCTGTTGCAAGGTTCGGTGACCCTCAGCAAGGGCCCCTCATGGAAGTTTCCACCCCCTCTTGGGAACCCTAGCAAGGTGCAGCTGCCCTGGTGGGGCAAGAACAAGTCACAGGCCTCACAATTCTCAAGCTGAGCTTAGGGAGCCTGCAGTGCAGGGCAGAGAGCAAAGGGCAAGCACAGGCCACACACAGAACTGAGTGTTGCCAGAGGTGTGCAGAACCCTGGGGTGGCTGCTGGCTGTCTCTAGTACAGGCCATGTCAGGTGAAGCAGGCCTGCGACCCAGTGCCTGGGGAAGCCTCAACCTTAGGACCCAGTGCCTGGATACAGGAGGCAATGGGTAACCAGGCTGAACGTGGCCCTGCCTTTTGCCCAGGGACCTCTGGACCCTTTGGTTCTTGCCAGCAGAGAGCCAAATCATATGGGAGGGACAGGCATACAGGCTAGGTGCAGGGGACTTTTCTTTGGTCCTTTCCCCTCACCCCTGAAGAGTTGGCATGGAGAGGATAGGATCTGACTGGATATGCTGGCTTCCAATTCCAGCCTGCCTCCAGTATGCTGTGCTTGTGTACATTTTGTCTGAGCCTCAACTTCCACATCTGTGGGTCATTTCCTAAAACAGAAAAATGGAGTCATTTCAGCTATACTCCCCCTGAAAATGACTAAAAATACTGGGTGAAATATTTTGAAGTTTTTATTTGTTTTTGAGAAAAGGTCCTGCTTTGCAGTCCAGGCTGGGCTTGAACTTGTTATGTAGCTCAGGTTGGCCTTGAACTTGAACTTGCCATCCTCCTGCCTTGGTCTCTTGAGTGCTGGGATTACAGGCATATAAAGTTTTGTTTAAAGCATCAAAGAGCTATAAAACTCAGAGCCCACAAGGCACAGCCTTTAGGGTGAAGGTGACCCCAGCCTTTTGGGAGCTGCAAGAGCTGAGGTGGTAGCTGATCTGGTGGGGGGAGGGAGACTCCTCATCCAGGTGGCTAATAAGGCCCATCCTTGGATAGGAACTTTCATGGGTTTGTCTGGTGGCAAAACCAAGTCACTGTCCTACAGCTGACCCACCTTTCAGTAGCCTTAGGGAAGGTGCCTCTCTGAGAGGACCCAGCTGACCAGGTAAGCAACACCTGGGCCAGACCCCAGCTGTCACCCTTGACTGCATGCTGTGCAGTGGCCTTTGACCTGGCAATCAGCAAAGCCAGAGCTTTCTGGGAAGGTTGTTGTCCAGGTCTTAAAGAATCCCGGCAAGTAATTCTCCAAGGCCATCTGCAGCTCCCAGCAGGAGTCCTGGGTGGCCCTTGGAGGTGGGGCTGTCCCTATTCCCAGAGGAAGAACAGAGTGCAAGGACAGGAATCTGTCTGAGGGATCTGAACCCATAGGCTTCAGCACATGGGGTGGAGCTTGGGGGGGGGGGGACCCCCAGCACTGTGACCTTTGGCCACATGGACCTCAGCCCATGCCATCCACCCCTTCCAGTCCTCCAGCTCAGCATAAATACTTCCTGCCTGGTGATCTTGGGCACATAGATACTGCCTGTCTAGGGGCAACACTCCAGCCCTGGTGACCCGGGGAAACCCAGACCCTCATCGGCAGGTAAGGAGCCTCCTCCCATGGCCGCTGTGCCAGCTCAGAGGAGCACAAGGAGTGGCTGGAGGATGCAGGGGTCACCTGGAGCCCAGACATGAAAGCTAACTGCTGTGGCACACTCCATTCTCTACGTCGGCTTCTACTTTCCCACCTATAAAATAAGCACAGTCCTCCTCCGTAGGAGGTGTGCCACAGCCAGTCCATGTCCATGCCCCTGAATGTCTGGGCCCCTCTGAGCTTCTCTCCAAAAGGAATAGAAAGTTGTCTCCCCAGAGGAAGAGGGGAAGGTCAATGGCCACCCTCAAAGAAGGCTCCAAAGGAGGGACTTCAGGCAGGACACATTGTAGGCTGGGGGTGCCCTTGAGCTGGGCCTCCAGGGTGCAGATGGGACACAGCTGAACCCAATCACAACTCTGGCAGCTGCCCTGCCCAGCTTGGACTCCTTGAGCCCTGGAAAGCTCACCACTGCCGACCCAGCTCTGGGCGCTGAGCCCTGCATCTGTGTCCAGGTCTCCTATGTCTGCCCACCCACCAGGTGCCCCACTCACACAGGGATGTGCTCGCTGCCTGTGCCCCAGGAGCCCCTGCGCCGTGTGGTTGTGACCGGGGGCACCCATGGCAATGAGATGTCTGGTGTCTACCTGGCCCGGCACTGGCTGCGGACCCCAGTGGACCTGCAGAGACCCAGCTTCTCTGCTCTGCCCATGTTGGCCAACCCAGCGGCCACAGCCGTCTGTCGCCGCTACATAGGCCATGACCTGAACCGTACCTTCACCAACACCTTCCTTATGTGAGTGCCACTACTCCAGCTGCTGTCCAGGCGATGCCCCACCCCCACCCTGCGCTCTCTCTTCCTCTCTGCCTGTACTACTTGGCCCTCCCTCTTCACTTTAGTGAAGTCCAGATCAATGACACCTCCTCTAGGATGCCCTCCCTGACTGTAGGCTGAGTCAAGGCCCCTCTGGGTTTCCCAGACCCCAAGGTGCCTTCAGATCAGCCTCATAGGCTGTGTTTATCAGCCTTCTGCCCCAGTTCCTGCCTATGCCTCCTTCAGGGCCTATACATGGGCCCCACCTCCAGCCAGGCCCCCGGCTAGTATGTGGGACAATGGGGAGTAGCACCAAGGTGTTGGCCTCAACTTGCTGGGGGACACAGGAAGAGCTCAGCAATCACAGCCCAGGAGGCTAAGTGTGGGGGTGGGGGAACTACATACAGCATGTAGCAGGGTCACCAGCAGCCAGGGAAGACTTCCTGGAGGAGGTGGTGTCTCAGCCAAGCCCCAAAAGGTGAGTAGAAGCTATGGTGCCTGGGAGGAGTGGCTGGAGCGAGAGCAAATGGAGGACAAAGGGTGGGTGGCAGGGTTGGCACTTCATGGGGAAGCAGGAAGCCGAGGAGGAGGTCAGAGCCACCCGGGTGGAGGAGGAGCCCCTGGGCTGTGCTAAGTATCTCCTGCCAGCTGCTCGAGGCTGTCCCTTCTCCAGTCAAGCCACTGCAGACTGCTTGAGACTACTGAGCTACATCCCCCCTCCTACCCCACAGTTCCAAGGCCACTCCGGATGAGCCGTACGAGGTGACAAGAGCCCGGGAGCTGAACCAGCTGCTGGGGCCAAAAAGCTCCAGCCAGGCCTTCGACTTTCTCCTTGATCTGCACAACACCACAGCCAACATGGGCACCTGCTTCATCACGAAAGCCACAGACGTCTTTGCCATACATTTGTGCCACCACCTACAGGTGGTTCCAGCCTTGCACAGGGCAGAAAGAGGGCAGCTGGGGAAGCGGGTAGAGGGGACCTAGCCCAGGCCACACTGCTCCCTTTCCCTAGCCTATTTTCCCCTGGGGATCAATCCCAGGAACGCTACCTGCAGGTACTCCAGGCCTTTGGCTGGGTCAGAGCAGGTAGTATCCAGTGCTTCCTTGATGCTGCTCTGCCCTGCCTCAGTTTCCTCTCCCAAGGCACGGGTTCCTGATTTGCCCCTTCCATCCCCAGCTGAAGAACCCCAAGCTGCCCTCCCGGGTCCTCGTGTACCAGCTGTCCCAGGACGAAACATACAGCCTGGACTCTGTGGCCAAACACGGAATGAGTGAGCTAAGGGCTCTGGGAAGTGGACGAGGTCGGGATGAAGGGGGCAGGGCCATGGTCCAGGAGGTGGGGCCAAGGGTCAGGAAACGTGGTAGGGGCCAGGGGGCGGAGTCTCCCAGAGGTGGAGCCTCAACCTGGGGCTTGCAAACCCCTGGGAATCCTATGAGACCTCTCTCCTCTCATAGCCCTGGAGCTGGGCCCCCAGGCTCAGGGCGTGCTTCGGGCAGACCTTTTCTCCCAGATGAGATCCCTGGTGGCCTCTTCTCTAGACTTCATCGAGCTCTTCAACCAGGGTGAGACTCTGAGGCAGGGAAACTGAGGTCCAGAGGAGAGGGCTGGCTCCGAGGGAGGTAAGGGCTGTCACCTTGGCCTCCCATACAGGCACAGCCTTTCCGGCCTTTGAGATGGAAGTCTACAGATTCTTGGGCTGCGAGGACTTTCCACACACGGAGGACGGAGACCTGGCTGGCATGGTACATCCCCAGCTCCAGGTGCGTGGGTGTGGAGAGGTTCTGGGGCCGCCGCTTGGGAAACCAGGCCGAGGGAGGCTCCTTGGCCCTCAGAAACCAGAGCAGAACAGGGTGCTGGCCCCAGACCCTTTCTTGTCTTTTCTGGGACTTGCACACTCAGGCCCAGCACTGGGGGCCACAACAACCCTCACAGTCCCCTTGGCTCCTCAGCTTCCAGCAACAGGGGAGGAAGGAGATGTGGAGCAGAGGCTCAATGGCTGAGACCTGGCAACTGCCAGCTGCTACTTTGTTTGCTGCCACACCAGGGTCCCTGTTGAACAGCGTCTTGTGTAGTTCCAGAGCCTCTATTCCCTGCAAGTTTTATTTTGAGGTGATCTCTTACTTGGAATGACATTCTGGGGTAGGGACACCATCCTTTCAGTGTTAAGGGGTGGAGGGTCTTAAGCCAGCTCTACCCATCTACTTTGCAGATGTTAGTGGTCATTTAGTACAAGCGTGTAGAGCCGGGTGTGGTGGGGTACACCTGTTACTTGGGGAAATTGAGGCAGGAGGGTCAAAAGTTCAAGGTCAGCCTGGGAAACTTAGAGAAATTCTGTCTCAAAATTTAAAAAAGGCTGTGGATGTTGCTTAGTGAGAAGGCCCTGGGTTCAATTTCCAATACTGCCAAATTCAGAACACTAAGCAGTTGTTTGGATAACATTTCAGTGGCAGTATAGCCATCTTAGTTTATGGGGTTTTTTTGTTTTGTTTTTTTGTACCGGGGATCGAACTTGGGTCCTTGCACTTGCGAGACAGGCGGCGGAACCACTGAGCTAAATCCCCGGCCCTATCTTAGTTTATGTAAGAGCCCTCTGTGACGGTTTCACAATGACAAACTCATCTAGCAGCACATTTCTGGAACTAACCCCATCATTAAGTGACACTTGACAGTATTTGGGGGGCGCTTTTTTGGGAGGGTCTTTTAATAAGTGTATTATTCAGACATATAGATGACAAGGCAGTTTTATGAATGCACATGAGATAAATGGAGTTAATACTACTGAGCAAGCATGACATTTTTGTTGTACTGTGATCAAGGATGAATCACTAAAATGATTAATCACAAATCAATGTTAAGCTTCACTGAGAGACCATTCTTTCCTTGCAAGGCAGTTAGCAGCTCTAAATTTATAAGCTAATGAGTTTACTCTAGCTATAAGCAGACATTAATTGCAGGGAATTTGTGTGCATGTGTGTGTGTTAAGCTAAAGTGATGACACAAATACAAGCGCAGTTTTATCATACAGGGTATTGTGCAAATATATAAATAACAGCATACATTACAGACAAATTTTAGATAATACACAAAGAAAATATAATTTTCATAAATGTCAAAAAGATATGATTCATCAATTATCTTAATTACATCAACCTTTAAATAGCATTATTTTGCAGTGACTCGAACTTGTAACCGTAGTAAGTATCACTATCATGATCTAATCAGTTTGAAGGGAACAGGGATTTACAAAGAAGCAGTGCTCATGCTTTCAATAAAATACTTTTTTTTTTTGGTACCAGGGATTGAACTTGGGTCTTTACGCTTGCAAGGCAAGCGGCAGAACCACTAAGCCAAATCCCTGGCCCAATAAAATACTTTTTTAAAACAGGAGAAAATAGCTGGGTGTGGGGGCACATGCTTGTGATCTCAGCATTTGGGAGGCTGAGGCAGGAGGATCATAAGTTTGAGACCAGAGTGAGCAACTGACTTGAGGACAGCCTGGAATAAATAGGGAGACCTATTTCAAAAACAAAAAAGAAAATGAAGTGATAGCACTAGATTTTAAAAATAACTCTATTTGTCACCTGACAGTATCGGACTGTGTTTCCAGTACATTGTAAGCATTATTAACCTGCTTAGTTTAGATCTCAGAATGATAGGAGAAATTATCCCTGTTTTACAGACAAGGAGGATGAGGAACACAGAAGTGAAATAACTTGTTCAAGGTTACACAGCTAATAAGAATTTGAACCCAGGCTCAGAGCACTGAAATTCCTATCCTCGTAACCATTAGGCTACACTTCTACAATGACAACTGTCTTTCCAAAGTGTCTGATGTCTCCATTTCTAGATGTAGAACAAGTTGTCATGTCACCAGACTCCTTGTCGCATGGATCAAGGAAGTAAAGCCTGGGTCGGCAAGGCTGTGAAAGAGTGGTCATCTCTTGGGTGCCACTAGCTGGGCTTGTGCTCCTGCTCCCCAGCCTAGGCGGAGCACCTTGGCCCCATTAACCTTGGCCTTGGCTTTCTTCCCAGGACCGGGACTTTGAACCTCTGCGGCCTGGTACACCCGTGTTCCAGATGTTCAGTGGCGAGGATGTGCTCTACAAAGGGGACTCCACCGTGTATCCCGTGTTCATTAACGAGGCTGCCTACTATGAGAAGAACATTGCCTTCATGAAGTCAGAGAAGCTCCTGGTCTCAATACCTGCCTTGCCTGGGCTGACCCCCGTTCCCACCCCACTAACCTAGCCACACCTACCTGGCCTCAGGTTTCCCATCTGAGAAGTGGGTGCTGCGGCACAGGGCTGAGCCCAGGGGCCTATGCACCATGTTCCTTGTCAGGCCGCCCAATGCCAGGTTTCAGTTCCCCATTATAAAATGGGAAATGACCAGGGGCCCATGGTTCATGTCCTCTGTCATGCCTAGCCCCTCTGGCTAGGAAAGTGGATGGAGGGAAGGAGGATTAATCACAGGGCCTGGGGCAGGTCTAGCCACACATGCTGTGTGTCCTGGGACCATTGTGGCTGTCTCTGTGCCCACAGCTGTCCACACATGCCTCGGGGGAGATCCCATGTTGTACTGAGAACCCAGAGGGGACTGTCCTAGTCCCAGCAGAGGGGCTTCCAGAGGTACCCACAACTCAGAAGGCCTCATGTCATACAGTCCTGGGCCAGATGGGTGTGGGGGCAGAGATGTGCCCACGTGTTCGTCAGTGTGCATGTCTGTGCCCGTGCCTACCCAGAGTGCCTGTTCGATCCCTAGTGCCTTGGGTGCTCTTCTGAGGGGCTCTGTGTGAATGCACAAACAGCCCAGATGTGTATTTCCCAGTGCTTACTAGGTCCCATGCCACAGTGGTTCAGGGGGACTCAGGGCTGGGGATGGGGACACCCAGAAAGCTGTCCTGCTGCCGGAGCACCCAGAGAAGGTGCCCAGGGTGGGAGCAGAGGGATGTCCTAATGGGGAAGCCAATGCTCCTCCCATAACCTCCACCAGGCCTCCCTCTAGTGTCAGAGGTAGGAGCTGGCACAGGGTCCCCTCTGTTCTCACCCAGGTCCCTACAAGGCACCCACAAACAAGGCAGGTCAGGATGAGGCCTGGCCAGAGCAATACCATGCCGGGCAGAGGTGCAATTCAACAGCCAGCGATGCAGGGCCCAGAGCTCCACCCTCTCAGAGTGTCGCTCCTCCGGCCCCCCGCACTCCCCGCCTGGCCATCCATCTCCCTGCGGCCATAGCTGCTACACCACTGCCTCCTGGTATTGAGCAGCGAGATGAAAAGGTGTGAAGGATGCTGGGGCACCAGGGACAGGCTGGCAGGCAAGATGGATGAGGGGCAGGGGGCCAGGAGGTGCCTGTGGCAGAAAAGGCAGGCAAGGGGGGGGCCCACATGTGTGAGGACGTTTCCCATCACACAGACTGAAGGCGTGCCCACACCTAGCAGGAGCCAAGAGCACCCCAGGCTGCCCACCCTCGTATCTGGGCTGAAGAGGAGCCACCGAGAATGGGAAGAATCCCAGTCCCTCTATCATCTCTCCCATTCCCTACCCACCACACTGGGAATCCTGGGGCCAGGTGGCATGGCCACACTTCATTGGTGGCCCTGGGAGCTGCTGGGCTGCTCCTCTTGTACAGAGTTCCAGGTAGCTGTGCGTGGGTCTATGCAGCAGTCCACTCTCTTCCCCCTGGGCCAGCCCACTCTCTTTGTGGGATCTTCCCAGCTCTGCAGATACCAGTCTGGAACAAGGGGGGCTGAGCCACAGGGAGGAGAGGGACTGCCCAGCCTGAGGCCCTGGGAGGCCCTGGAGCATCATGATCACCCTTCGGTGTGCCCTTTACAGACATCTCAGCCTCTCAAGGGAGAGCTGGCATAGGGAATCCCCATTGAGCATACCCAGCCTGGCCTGGGATGCTCCCTCCCAGACTAAGCAGGGACGGTCCAGCCAGGTCCAAAAGCACCCCCAACCTCAACCAAAGGACCAGCACTGGCTTAGGGGGCACTCTACTCTCCCTGTCTCCCAAATGCTTGGCTTCAGGACAGATGGGGGCAGCCTGGAGAAGGTGCTCAGTCAGGCTGGACAGGGACAGTGGACAAAGTGATGCTCACCCAAGCTCTCTCACCTGGGTCAACTCAGAGTCTCCACTCACACCCTTGTGGTGGCTACAGGAGGACCATCACCAGAGGACACTGCCCCCTGCTCCAGATGGGGAGGGCTTACTGCTCCCCAGGCTGGGCTGGACCACCTCAGGCAGAAGAGATTACACACTGAGGTTAGTCAGGGAAACTGAGGCAGAGGGACTGACTGCCAGGGACCAGCCATTATCGCCTTGTTCATGGGGCTGAGCTTCAGAAGAGCCTGAATTCCCTTCTGCCTGGTCTGGGGGCCCTGCAGTCTGCTATCGCTGTTGCTGATCCTGTGTTTCCTGCACCCCTCCCCTCCCCCCATCACACCCTCAGGCCCCACTGCCAAGCCTAGTCCAGGAGTCTGGGTCTTAGAGGGAGTGCCCCGCCTCTGCCATTCAGCCTTCATCTGCTGCCACTACTGCTGCCTCCCAATCTCCCTAAGGCCTCATCAGCCCCAGCCCCTCCAGCCAGCCAGGCCTGGGCCCCACTGGACATCCAGCCAGTCCTCAACATGGGGACCCCACCCCCACTTGTGCCTGGGCCCATTGATCAGGAATGGCTGGGGGGTTCTCAGCTGGGAAGGGAGGAAGCTGGGGAGGGAGACAAGGAGGGAGGGAGGGGGGCTTTGCAACGTCAGAACCTTCCCACCTGCCCCCCTTCCATATGAGCCCGCCCTGGAACTGGACCAGCCCAGCTGGTGGCCCAGCCTCAGACACTGCAGTCTGAAGGTGGTTTGGAGAAGGTCCTGCACATCCCAGGCCCAGGATCTCACCTTCAAAGACCAGGTGCCCAGCTTCAGTGGGAGAACCTCAGCCATTGGACGTGGACAGAGGGTGATCAAGAAGGAAAGGACAGTCCTGCAGAGACTGAAGACTGTATTTGCCTGAAAGCTGAGCCGAGGTGCTGGGGACCACCAGACCAGGAGTAGCTAATCACCCCTCCTGGCAGGCGGGGCCCCTCGGGTGGCAGCTGTACTCCTGCCCCAGCTGAGAGGTTTTCTCCAGGAGGTGGACATCCAGGCTGTCCCCATGGCAGGTATGGTTCGGGTAGCAGAGGCAGCCTCATGGATGGGCTCAGACTCCAGGGTGGGTGGGGCAGAGCAGGGACTAGGACTGAGGCAAGAGGGTGGGGCAGGGGCTCCCCAGGCTGTGGTCTCAGATGGACTTGCAGTATCTTCGGTACAATTATGGGGTTGCCAGGAGCTGGGGCAGCCGAGCCACTTCTGGAAGGTGAGAGCCTCATCAGGCTTGTGTGGGATGTACCTGTCCCTTGCCCTCGCTGACCTCAGCCCCTTGAGCATCAGAATGGGGGCTGGACAAGAATCCTGTAACTTCCCTTCCAGACCTGGTGCTCCATTTCCCTGAAAATTGTGAACTCTGCACTGGCTTCTAGTTTCAAGCAGAGAGCACTCCCCTCCCCAGAGTTCCTGAGAGTGCTGAGGGGCAACACATTGACTGGAATGGCAGAGGGTGACCCATAGAAAATTTGGGGCCAGTGACCACCTGCAAAGCTCCCAGACCAGGGGAGGCCATGAGCATTTCTGCCTTGGGACCCATCTACAGGGACCCTAAGGGCTGGCATGGGCAGCCAAGCAACTGGCCGTAGGTAGTCGGGCCATCAGCCCATCCAGCCATCTTGTTCCAGGGTCCTCGGACCTGGACATGGCCTGTCCTCTTCAGAGGCCCTTCCCTCCTCCACACTGCAGACATCCCAGGGCTTTAGTGAGGTGCCACTTCTCACCCATGGGTCTCAGGACTGCTGAGGACATGGCCCCAAGCCCTGGACCCCACACACTCAGGAGGCACCTACTTAGTGCCAGCTCTGGCCAGGAACTGCCTCTGGTACCTCATTAGCCACAGTGCCTCCCAGGAATCTCCCTCTACCCTCTGTTTGCCAGCTCATCCACCTGTCCCAGCATCTGATGTCCCCCCTCTGCTCAGGGATCCCATGGTTTTATGGTCATATAAATGCTTCATAGCCACTCAGTCGGAGGACTGCTGGAAATACAAACCTTGGCCCCTGACTCCTGGCCTCTGTGGGTTCTATGGCCCCACCAGGTCCTCAGTCCCTCCTGAGGCACTATGAGCGAATAGTTCTATTTTTCAGTTCTTTTCCCTTTTAAAATTTCAGGTCGTGGTAAAATATAGGTAAGAAAATTTACCATTTTAACTATTTTTAGGCTTGGAGCTTAGTGGCATTAAGTACATTCACATTGTTGTGCAACCATCATCTCCAGAACATTTTGTATGTTGCCAGACTGAAACTCTGTATGAGCACCTCTCCATTTCTTCCTACTTTCTGTTTCTATGAACTTGACCTCTCTGAGTACCCCTTAGAGTAGAATCCTACAGTACTCGCCCTTTTGTGTCTGGCTTTTTTCACTTAGCATAATGTTTTCTCAACTCCTCCATGTTGCATGTCAGAACATCCCTCCTTTTAAGGGTGAATAATGTTCCACTGAATGTCTACACCACATTTTATTTATCCATTCATCTGTTAGTGGACACAGGTTGCTTCTACATTTTGGCTTTTCAAATAATGCTGCTCTGAACATGGGTTTACAAATATCTTTGTTTCAGTTCCTACTTTCAATCTTTTGGGTATAGATTCAGAAGTGGAATTGCTGAATCATATGGTAATCTTTGTTTCTTTAGTACTGGGAGTCAAACCCAGGTGCATTCTACCACTGAACTACATCTCCAGCCCTTTTTATTTTTTAATTTTTGGACAGGATCTAAGTCACTAAATTGCCCAGGCTGGCCTCGGACTCTCCACCTTCCTGCCTCAATCTCCCCTGCCTAATCTCTTTTCATTTTTTAAGGACTTGCTTCCACAGTGGCTGCACCATTTTACATTTCCACCGACAGCACATAAGGGTTCCAATTTCCCCACATCTTCACCATTTGTTAATTTGGGTTTTCTTTTTTTTTCTAAATAGTCATTTTGATTTGTGTAAAATGCTCTTATTGTGGCCTGGATTCTGTCCAGATTGCACATCAAGACAGGATCTGTAGGAAAAAGTGAAGAAATGGGAGGGAAAGATGTTAGGTTTCTGGAGGCAGGATCCAGGCACATTTCCGACATGTGGAGCAGGGCACTTGGGATGAATGGGGTCTCCCCTCCACTTGGCTCTGCTTAAGCAGCACCAGGAGTGGGGGCTCCGTGGAGCTTGGAAAGTCACCCTTCCCACTCCCTGCAGCCCCACACATGCATCGTCTATAACAGGTGTTGTTTACGAAGGGCCTACTGTGCTCCAGGCCTGTGTCATCAAGAATCCTCACTTTGGCCCCATCAGGCAGTCTGGAGAACCCCTTTTGACAGGTGTGGAAACTGAGGCTCCAGGAAGCAAAACAATTTGCCTTAGGCCACAGAGCCACAGGATGGCTCACAAATTCCCCTAGGGGGAAAGACAGGTTCTGCCTCCACTCTCCAGGAGCTTGCTGGTGGAAAGCTTTAAAATGAACCTTGATCTCACCAAGCGATGCTGACTGGGGGATGCTGGGACACAAGCTAAGCAGGTAGGGAGAGCTTCCCGAAGGAAGAGGTGCGTGGGAACAACCTGAGGATGCAGGCTGGCTGGTGATGACTGGGGTGAGCAGGGCAGTGGGGCCCACACTATACCCTCTCCCCACAGCCTTCCTGTCTGCTGGCCTGAGTGTGCTTGCGCCCTCAGAGATCTACTCCCTCCCTGTGACTGGCTCCAACTGGGAGCCCCCGCTGGGGACACCATTCCCATCAGGCTCCTGCTGCAGATCCTCAGAGGCCCAAGCCGTGGCTGAGGCCCCTGGCCAGAGCCCCAAAAACCCACGTGTGTCCGGAGTGACGGTTCAGCTAGAGATGAAGCCTCTGTGGGAGGAATTCAACCAGCTGGGCACCGAGATGATTGTCACCAAGGCAGGCAGGTATAGCCATGGGCAATGAGCAGAGCAGGGGGCCAGGGCTGGGGGCTACTGAGCGCTACTCATTGGGGCTACCAAGCGCCTCCGTCCTGCAGGAGAATGTTCCCCACCTTCCAGGTGAAGATTCTGGGCATGGACACGCTGGCCGACTATGCCCTGCTCATGGACTTCATCCCATTGGATGACAAGAGATACAGGTCTGGGCCTGCTAGGGTATAGTGCATGCAGATTTGGGGCCCTCGGAACAGGAATTAGATCCATAGGGCAACAGCCTACTGGTATGAGGGAAGCCCAATTCGGGGCAACGGGCTAGCCTGAGACAGGCAGAGAGGTCTAGCCCAGGACAGCAGGGGTTATCGTGACTCCTGCCAGTGAGGTATGCCACAGGGAATTCAGGGCTGACAGTATTCTGAGGCTTGGCTCCTGATCTGCAAGATGCCCTCTGGGCCAGGTGGGTAGTGGTGGGGTGCCACCACCTTTGCCCAGCAGTAGTGGTGGGGCTTGGCATGGGTGGGGGCAGCCCTGAACACCTCTCTCTGCTCCCAGGTATGCCTTCCACAGCTCGGCCTGGCTGGTGGCAGGCAAGGCTGACCCGGCCACGCCCGGCCGCGTGCACTTCCACCCCGACTCACCGGCCAAGGGTGCCCAATGGATGCGCCAGATTGTGTCTTTTGACAAGCTCAAGCTGACCAACAACCTCCTGGATGACAATGGCCACGTGAGGCCTGGGCTGTGGTGGGAGGGGCTGAGCTGGGCAGAGGGTGGAGGCTCCGGGTCCTGATGGGGATAAAGCCTAGAGCTGGTGCTGGCCTGGGCTTTGGTGGTGCCCAGTGGCCATGGCATCCAGTACCCCTGCCTGCTGCTGACATTCAAGCTCACCTGGCTAGGGGCTGGATGACACACAGAACTGTCCAGGCAGGTGGGAAGTGGGCTAGGGTTAGGGGATCTTTCTCTCAGGGCACAGGGAGGGCACTGTATGGAAGGCCTGCAATAGGCCAGGCTTGTAGGTGCCAGAATACAGCACCACTGACACTTTATCAGATAGATTCCTTGCCAGGCTCACATCTGGGGTCAAGGGCAGATGGTAAGCCAGAAGCCCAGCAGACACTAAATGCAGTCACAGACAGTGATAAATGATAAAGAGAAACAGGAGCCAGGGGTGTGGGCAGAGACAGGCAGGTGAGGCATTATTTGAACTGAGACCTGAGGAAGTGAGGAAGAGAGGGAATCTATGCATATGAGAGGGGGGGCTGCTTAGGTGCAGGGGACAGCAAGTGCAAAGGCCCTGAGGCTAGTGACTAGAGGGTGGGTTGGAGGAACCATAAGGAGCTGCCTGTGTGGCTGCAGTGCAGCAAGAAGGGGAAGTGGAAGGAGAGAGCCACACCCAGGGCTGATTGTGCAGGGCGTTGCCCAAGGAGAGGGTGGGCTTTCCTTCTCTGTAGGGTGGGTGTGGACCAGGGGAGCTCTATGATGTACTCTGCTGGGGCTGTGTGGGTAGAGGGTCAAGGTGGAGGCCGAGAGATCAGTTGAGGAACTCAGGAAAGATGACAGTGGCTGGCTGGTGTGGAGGCAGTGGTGGAGAGGTGGTCAGATTCTGAACAGTTCTGAAGGTAAAGCTGAGAGGTGGACCATGAGTGACAGTAGACAAGGCCGCTCGAACACAAAGAGGCTCAGACCCAAGTTCAGGAGGGTTGGCTGTGGCCCCGCCCTCTGCATACAGCTCTGCCCCTCCTGCAGATCATTCTCAACTCCATGCACCGCTACCAGCCCCGTTTCCACGTGGTCTTCGTGGACCCACGCAAGGATAGCGAGCGCTATGCCCAGGAGAACTTCAAGTCCTTCATCTTCACGGAGACCCAGTTCACAGCCGTGACGGCCTATCAGAACCACCGGGTGGGTCTGGCTTAGGAGGCACCAGCTACCAGGCAATTTCACAAGGGTGGAGACTGAGGCCTGAGGTTTTTAGCCTCCACAAACCACAGACACTCACCTTTCCTGTCTCCCTGGGCATTGGCCCCAGGCATTCCCCTGCCTTCCCGTCCACTGGCTCCAGAGTTCCCAGGCCAAGGGATCTGGGCCCCAGGTGGATAGAGTGGCTGACTCTGGGCCCCACAACCCCTCACTGGCTCAGGGCCAGCCTATAACTGCCTTTTCTCTCTATAGATCACCCAGCTGAAAATTGCCAGCAACCCTTTTGCCAAGGGCTTCAGAGAGAGTGACCTGGACTCCTGGTATTGTCTGGCTCCTGATGTTCCATTCAGCTGCCCTAACTTCAGCCTCTCATCCCTACCCCAGACATTTCTTAAGGCCTCGACCCCTCACCTTGTTGTAGGATCGCACCCTCTGATTTGTGCTGGGGTCCCACCATCTGACTCTGACCATCACCCCTGGGCTGAGCTCTTCATCTTGATTCTCTGCCCCTCTTCCTATTTGTCCCATCTTCAGGCCTGTGGCCCCACAGCCCCTACTCCACATCCCAACCCAGAGTCACAGCAGTCTCAGTCCCTGCCTGCTGAAGGGCCCCAAAGAGCAGAACAAAGGTAAAGGCCCCAGCCCAGACATAGTGGGCAGAGCTATAGGGCTGCCAGGAAGTCAGGAAAGGGTTCAGCATGATCAGCAAGCCCACTGGGCACCTCTGTGGACATGGACAGGGAGGCAGAGATTCCTAAGACAATATGAGACCCAGAGGAGAGAGAACAAGGCAGAGACCAGGTGCTGAGAGCAAAGCGGGGGGTGCCAGGTGGGCTGCCTGGAGGAGGTGCTTCCCAGCTGGGCCTTGGAAAACTGGGAAGAATTTGGAAGGGAGGTGGGGAAGAAATTCCAGGTAGAGAAAAAAGGGTAAAGGCTAAGGTAGGCCAAGACAGGCAACTCAGGACCACAGTGGCAGGAAAGGGGACAGAGCAAGTCTGGGATGAGGGCTGAAGATATGAGCTGAGACCATTTCCTTCCTCAGACCTCGACAAAACTTCAGCCTCCACCTCCAGGACACCTGCCCGGCTCCACCAACAGCTGCTGCCTCCCACTGAGGCCCTGCCAGCCCCAGCCACCTACAGGCCCCTTGCTTACCGGGCCCCATACCCTGGAGCCCCAAGCCACCTTGGGATCCCAAGGACCCGACCAGCACCGTACTCTATCCCCAACATCCGGGCTGATGGGAATCAGGGAGGCCTCACCCTCTCAACTGGGCTGGGGATCCTATCCTCTACTACCATATGCCTGGGGCCTGGGCAGGACTCTCAGTGATGGCAGAAGCCCTGTGGAAGCCTTCCTACTCTGGACCCTCAACCCATGAAACAGCCTCTACACCCAAAGAGAGCAAAGCAGCTGGAAGCCCTCAGAGCAAGGCTACCTGCCCAGTCACAGCAAAACTGAGACAGTCCCAGGATTGGAACCAGGCCTCCTACCTCCCACCCCTACAACTGGGAATCCTTCCCCTCCTGCCTTGGGTATGATCCTTCCAAACCCAGTTTTACCTCTCCCTTCTCCTCAGCATTAAACCATATGGCATGAGTGGTCAAAACACTTCTGTCCTCAGTAACTCCTAGACCTGAGTCTCTAAACCAGCTCTGTATTCATCAAAAAGCTCTGTCCAAGGGCTCCCACATTCCTGGGAACCCAGTGATAGTAAAGGTGGTAACGCCAGCCAAGTGGCAGAGCTGAACTAAACCCTATGAAGGAAGCTGGGGTTCTCGTTTTAAGTGCCCAGATAAGGACTGAAACTGTGGCCTAAAGAGGCACACAACCTGCTCAAAGTCACACTGCAAAGTATGGTGGCTGGCATTTGCCATTCCATGTCCAAGTGCTGTGAGCAAGGCTGGGGCCATCTGGTCCTCAAGAGGTGTAGGACCACGACAGGCAATGATCACAGAGGCCAGGGTTGGGATGAGAGTAAAGATTTGAGGATCTCATCAAGACTCAGGGAAGGAGAGAAGAGTTCTGGGCGGCCTGTGGCTGGGGTGCGTCTGATGAAGCCTGGTGGGAGAAGACTGGGGGATGCACGTGCCACCCAGCGGCCCTACTCGTCTGGACTCTGCACTTCCCGGAGCTCTTCCTATGAAGCTCTTGAGCGAAGGACGGACATCCGTGGGGGCGAGGGTACCAGATACCCTAACTCCTCAACCTGGCGGTCAGCAGGGCTGAGCCCGGTTGCAAGGCTGCATCTGGTCCAAGTGTTCAAGGAAGGCCCTCCACGCCCCGCTCCAGTGTTCTCCCCCAGGCCAAGCCTCCGCCGAAACTCTGGCTACCTCACCACGCCCCTTCCGGCCACGCCCCCGCCAAACTGCGAAGCCACGCCCCGGCCTCTGGGAGTAAAATTTCCGGGCCACGCTCAGTAACGCCCTATTCCGGCTCCCCCGCTGCCCTCAGTCTCTCCGGCTCCAGCCCCACCCCGTTCTCCCACGAGGCCCCGCCCCTTCTGCAGTTCCTCCGGCCCCTCCCCCGACCGCCTAGGGCTCGGGGCCCCTCCCTCACCCGGCCGAAGGCCTTGGTGCCCCGCTGCGTGCGGGCATGCTGCTTGAGTCTCTGTCCGCGGAGGGCGAGCAGCGCTGTCGGCAACTGTTGACCGAGACCACGGCCCGGTTCCGCTCTCGGCCCGCGATGGCCGCAGTGCTCGTGCCGCTATGCCTAGTGCGCGGCGTCCCGGCGCTGCTGTTTACGCTGCGCTCCAGTCGCCTGGCCGGAAGGCACAAAGGGGACGTCAGGTACACCGGCCGGGAGCCCCTCCCCTCTACGGGAGGCCGCCGAGCCCCGGAGACGGCGGGGACCTTGGGCAAGGCACTTAGCCCCGCTGAGCCTCAGTTTCCGTCTCTGAGTGGGTCTGGGGAGAACCCGAGAGCCCACGGCTGCGGCGAGGACTCAGCGACCTTTGCGCCCCTCCCCAGGCACGAGGTCCTGGCCCGCACTATCTTGAGGTGCTTGGTACTCCTCTCTGAGCTGTTTCCCCTCTCTGAAAAGCCAGGACTCCGCCCCCTACCGACGGCTAAAGAGAGAGTCAAGTCCGGAGCCCAGGACGAATTTGAGGCCGCCTTAGCTCCGACCTCAGCGGGAATTGAAGACACCCTAGGATCAGTGTCAACACCACTAGGCCATCATGGGCAGAATCTGGGCATCTGAGCCCCAGGATCTTCTTGCCCCTGCTGCCAGACCCTTATATCTTGCAGTGCCCAAGGCCTCCCTTACCCTAGTGCTCAGGGAGATTAATCGGCCCCACCACATAGCTTCCTCCAGGCCTCACAGCAAACTAGGGGCAGAGGCTGATGCTTAGGGAGATCGCTAGCCTTCTGGCACTGCTGATACCCCAACCTCTCCAAGAGCCCAAGGACCACACTCCCTGTGCCTGTTCAGTTTCCCAGGCGGCAAGTGTGACCCTGCTGACCAGGACGTGGTACACACAGCACTGCGGGAGACCCAGGAGGAGCTGGGCCTGGCAGTGCCCAAGGACCACGTGTGGGGCATTATGCGGCCTGTGTATGACCAGGTGAGCCACCAGGCCCCAGGCCATCCTCACCGAATCCATCACTCTGTACCTGCCCTGGCCCAGGAGCCAGAACCTCGGGGACAAGGGGTCACACATTACTACAGACTTGGAGTGTGGAGGAGTGTCCTGGACCTGCTTGTCGGTCAGTTCTTCATCCCCACACAACCCCAGGGAGAAGTAATGGCTGGAGGTAGCTGCAGGTAAAGGGGCAAGCCAGTTCTGCTCAGCTGGGGACAGGGATGGAGGAAAGCTTCACAGGGTAGGCAGGGATTGATCCTGGGCTTGAATGACAAATGGGAGATTTTAGGGCAATAAAGGGAAGGGCAGGAGGTCCTAAGTGTGGGGAACCATCTGCAGAGGACCAGAGGCATAAGCAGGCCTAGTACATTCAGGACCCTGAGTCAGTCAGCATGGATGGTGTGAGGACAAGGACGGGCTGGTGAATCAAAGGCCTCTGGATGGCAAGTAGGGTCTTCCTCTCAGACTCCCTATTGCAGCCCCCAAAGCCCATGTCTCCCTGACTGCCCACCCTCCTCCCACCCCAGGCAAAGGCCACTGTGGTACCAGTGCTTGCCAGCGTGGGCCAGCTGGATCCGAAGAGCCTCAGGCCCAATCCCGAGGAGGTGAGTGGGGGAGACACTGGGGAACTGGGCTGACCCATTGGGGGAGGATAGAGGCTGGTCCTCTGTGCACCCTCTCTGCCTCTTGCCCACAGGTGGAGGAGGTGTTTGTGCTGCCCTTGGCACACCTGCTGAAGACACAGAATCAGGGTTATACCCACTTTTGCCAGCGTGGCCACTTCAGCTACACACTGCCTGTCTTCCTGCATGGTCCACACCGTGTCTGGGGACTTACAGCTGTCATCACTGAGTTCACCCTACAGCTGCTAGCGCCTGACACCTACCGACCCCACCTGACCAGCCCTTGGCTGCCCAGTGGCTGAAGGTCTGCCCTCCAGGAATGAATAAAGTGTCTGATCATTCTAGGCTCCTGTATCTTCTTTACGGAAACCCTGACTTTGGGCAGACCCTGAGGCCACTGGTGGGGCTTCTCTGGCCAGTCACACTGTTCCCCACAGCAGGGGCACTTCCTGTGTGTCAGGACTTGGAGTCATTTCATTTCACCCTCAACAGCTTTGTGCAGTTCCTGGATGGTAAGGCTGGAGCTCAGGATGGATAGAGTCCTTGCCCTAGGCCACCCCCAGCTGGGATTTGAACTAGGCCTCTCAGGCTTGGAAGCCCACCCTCTCATTGCTGGACTGTACAGGTCTCCATCTGTTTCTTCCACTCTCTCCTTTGTGCCTGGCTGCCTCTGTCCTGGCCCGCGGGTAAGTCAACGGAGACCCTAGAGGGGGGGTGAGAATGACAAAGGACAGGGGACACGAGAGATGGAGACAAGACAGGTTTCTGATCAAGTCTCGTTTATTGTGGAAGCTGCTACAACATATATACCGTAGGGCTAGAGGGGAGGAGCAAGAGGAGGGTACTGGGGCTACTTCCTTGTTGCCGGGTAGATTTGCAGCAGGCCCGGATATGTCCGTAAAAGGCACTCAAGAGTTCTAGTGGGGGGGCAAGGCCCCCCACATGCCTCCATGCTGGGCTTTGGGATCCAGAGAAGAGTCTAGTGAAGCCACTCCCCAGAGCTACATGATGAGCCCCTGCTGCATGCCACACAGTGTTGCCACCAGGCAGATGCTGCGCTGTCTTCCAGAGGTGGGGATGCTCAGTCGAGGAGAACTTAGACCAGGTCATACAGATAATAATATGACTGTATGTTAATAAATCACAGATAATAGTAGAATTATACATCAGTTATGGAAGAGCAGGGTTCTAAGACAGTTGAGGGGCGGTGGACCAACCTTGACATAGTGGTATGGGAAGACTTCTTGGGTGGTATCAGCCAGGACAAGCAATAGAAAACTCCACCCACCAGCTAGCCTTATCTGAAGAAGAATGTTCATTACAAACTCTAGAGATGACTAGCTTCAGGCATGGCTGAATCCAGGGGTCCAGCACCACTGTGCCCCGCCCCCCACCTTCCACTGTGCTGGTCTCACTCTCGGGGGGTTGTAGAGTCCAGAGATGTTAGAGATGAGGAAAGGAAAATAGCTCTAGGATGGCACAGCACCACCATCTCTTCAAGAGGAAACAGCTTCTCTGTTAGGCAGTCTAACCCAGAATTGTACTTTGTTAGCAGCCTTAGTCACATGCCCTTTCCTAAGACCATCATGTGGCCTGCTGGATTTAGGATACTTGGCAGGGCCTCAGGTACAGACCTGGGGAAGAGGGTGAGCCCCCTGGACTGAAAGTAGAGAAAGTTGATCCCCAAGGAATACTTGAGGATCATACTATATACAAAATGCATTAAAGACTTCAATGTAATGCTTGAGGGCCGGGGATTTAGCTCAGTGGTTCCAGCGCCTGCCTCAATGTAATGCTTGAAATGGCAAGACTACTAGAAGAAATATCTGTTCCTGATGTTGATGTGGGTAATGATTTCCTTTATAAGTCCCCAAAAGTGCAGACAAGAAAAGCAAAAATATGAGATTGCTTTAAAAAAAAAAAAACCTGCACAACAAAGGAAACAATAGTAAAGAGACATAGTCCAGATTGGGAGAAAATATTGAAGGCATATATATCCAGTAAGGGACTAATATCTGAATTATACAAGGAACTCATTGATGAGAAAACCCAATTTAAAAACAGGCAAAAGAGCTGAATAGACACTTCTCAAAAGAAGACATACAGATGGCAAACAGATATATGAAAAAATGCTTAACATCTAATTATCAGGGAAATGCAAATCAAAGTCATGAGATTTTTACCTCATACCCTTAGAATAATAATAAAGGTGAAAGACGTATAGTGCCTGTCTAGAGTGTACAAGGCCCTAGGACCAATTCTCTACATTACAAAATAAGTAAAAAAGATGAAAGAGAAGTGTCTGGAGCATGTCAAGAAAAGAAAAAACCCCATATACTGTTGGTGGAAATGTAAATTGTATATCCATTTTTGGAAAACACTATGGAGGGTCCTTAAAAAACTAAAAGAACTGCTATATGATCCAGCAATCCCACTTCTGGGTACACACTCGAAGGAATAAAATTCGGTATGTCAGAGAGGTATCCGTACTCTGCTGTTCATTGCAGCATTATTCTCAAGCCAAGATGTGGAATCAACCTCAGTGTTCATCAGCTGATAATGAAAATATGGGCTACACATACAACGGAGTATTATTCAGCCTTGAAAATTCTGTCATTTGCAAAAGCATGAATGAAGTTGGAAGACAACATGTTTAGTGAAATAAGCCAGGCAAGAAAGACATATACTGCATGACTTTGCTTTTGTGTGGGATCTAAGAAAGTTGAACTCCTAGAACCAGGGTAGAGAAGTGGTTACCAGAGGCTGGGGTGGGGAGATTGGGAAAGGGAAATGTTAGTAAAAGGGTGCAAAGTTTCAGTTATAGGAGAAATGAACTTTAGTGACCTGTGGCATGGCTACCATAGTTAATAATAACACTATCAAAATGGTAGATTTTAAATTGGGCATGGTGGTATATTCCTATAATCTTAACACTCTGGGAGAGTGGAATTGCAAGTTTGAGCCCAGCCTGGGCAGCTTAGCAATTTATCAAGACCTTGTCTCAAAATTAAAAAAAAAAATCTTTGGGGATGTACCTCAGTGCAAAGGATGTACCTCAGTGCAAAGACCTGAGGTTCAATCCCAGGTACTGAAATTTTTTTTTAAATGTTCTTAACCCCTAAGCAATAAGTAGTCAAAGCACTGGGTAGATTTGTTAGCTTGATTTAGAATTTCTTTTTTTTAAATTTTTTTGGTACTGGGGATCGAACTCGGGTCCTTGTACTTGCAAGGCAGGCAGCGGAACCACTGAGCTAAATCCCCGGCCCAATTTAGTATTTCTATAATGGGGGCCAGGGATTTAGCTCAGTGGTTCTGGCGCCTGCCTCGCAAGCACAAGGTCCCGAGTTTGATCCCTGGTACCAAAACAACAAAAAAAAGTATTTCTATAATGTACACTTATATTAAAACATCACATTGTGCCCCATAAATATCTACAGTTACTATTTCTTAATTAAAAATTTAAAAAATACAAGAAAACTGGGAAGAAAAGAGGGGAAAGGAGGCTGGGAAGTTAAAGCCAGCTGAGGTCCGTTGCAGGGGTGACCTGGGGCCAAAGGAGGCAGGAAGCCAGGTGAAAGGCTAGTCCAGGCAGTAGGTACCCTGGGCAAGGTCTGAAGAGCTGAAGACGAGGGGGGAGGGGAGCCCCACAAAACTGAGGGTCATCATGAGGTCGAGGGGACCCTCTTTGTTGAGAAACAAGGGGACACCCTTGAGAGCGGTTAGGATTGTATTCCAAGCCAGGAAAGAGGTAGAAGGGTGCTGAACTGTTCTTGCACCTCAAAGGCGATTAGATTTCCGGGCCATAGATTGCGGGGGGGCCTCCTCCCTGTAACCCCCAACTCCCATGTGCCCCTCCCCTCCTCCCAACATGCACCTGAGCTCCCCTACTTCCTCCCTCTACCTTCCTTCCCTCCTCACATACCCCCACCTCCTTCTCCCCCGTGTTCCTCACTTCCAGGCACCCACCCGCACCCTTGTTTGTCACCTCTGGCCCTTCAGCCTCCTCATCTGGGTGCAGGACCACATGATGTGGGTAAAAATAACTCTGTCTGACAATGTGTGAAACAGGGGGGCAGAGGCAGGAGAGAGTGCTGAGGGTGAGGATGGGAAGGTGCGGGCTCCAGATTCTGCGCCCACTCCTGCTGCCTGTTACACTCTTCGGGTCCCCTCAGTCACAGGGCTTTGTGGCCTCAAGGGCACAGCCAGCGCCAGCAGCTGCAGACCAAGCCAGCAGCGCTCATCGGGTGAGGAGCCAAGCGCGGAGGACTCTGGATTCCGGGTCCCTCCCACACCTGCCTGACCCTCCAGGCTAGGGCCCTAGCCCTGCCCGCCATGACCTCGGCATCCCGTGCTCTGTCCTAGGACTCCCAGGAGATCCCTGCGATGCCTCTGCGCTCCGTCTCAGTGGCCAGGTGCGGTGGTCCTGTCCCCAGTCCGCCCGGGTTTCCCTGACCTCCCCGCCCCATGTCTGAGCCCTCATGGCGGCCACGGCGCCAGAGGGCTGGCGGCGGCCGCCGCGGGTGAGCATGCAGGAGCATATGGCCATCGACGTGAGCCCGGGCCCCATCCGGCCCATCCGCCTCATCTCTGACTACTTCCCCCACTTCTACCCTTTTGCTGAGCCCGTGCTGCGCACCCCTGACTGGCTCCCAGCTGCAACCCCAGCCAACGGCTCCACACCCCAACTGCAGCGTGACCCAGAACCAGAGGCAGACTCTGATGATAGCAGTGAGTAGGGGAGAGGCCAAGGGGTCATCCCTGGATGGGGCCAAAGGCATGCCTAGCATCCATTGGATAGACTGGGCAGGCACTCTCTCATGGGGGCCAGGTCAACCAAAGCAAGGGCTGACTGTGGCTGCCACCTGCCTTTAGCTGCCCTGGGGACCCTCGAATTCACACTTCTCTTTGATGCGGACAACAGCGCCCTGCACTGCACAGCCCATAGGGCCAAGGTGAGGATGAGGGTTGGGGGTCCCTGGGATCCAGGGCTGGGCCACAGGTCTACCTCACACCCACTCTCTGTTCCCAGGGTCTCAAGCCACCAGCCTCAGGCTCTGTGGATACCTACGTCAAAGCCAATCTGCTGCCAGGACCCAGCAAGGTGAGGGCAAGACCCAGGCCCCTGTTGCTTCCCTTTGGACCCCTGCTTTGCCCCTACCCACAGGGCCTACATCTCAGTTGATGGGATCAAAAAGGCAGGGGGGTGGCTGATCCCCAACCCTGTCTGGCCCCTAGGCCAGCCAGCTTCGGACCCACACCGTTCGGGGCACGAGGGGACCTGTCTGGGAGGAGACACTCACCTATCATGGCTTCACCCGCCAGGATGCTGGCCGAAAGACCCTTCGGTGAGGATCAGGCTGGGGCCACGGCGGGGGGGGGGGGGGGCACAGGGCTGGGGGATGGGGCCTGTATGGCCAAGTGTAACCCGGGAAGCCATCAGGTTGTGTGTGTGCGAGGACCCAAGGCTTCGACGACGCCGACAGGCACCTCCTCTGGGGGAGCTCCGGGTTCCCCTGAAGAAGCTGGTGCCCAATCGAGCCAGGAGTTTTGACATCTGTCTGGAGAAGCGGAGGTTGGTAAGTAGGGCTGTGTGGCCGAAGCCTTATAATGGAGCCAAGGGGGAGGAGCAGGCAGGGGCACCTGGGCAGTGCATGACTGAGATGGCAACCCTTTCTGCTTTTTCAGACCAAGAGGCCCAAGAGCCTGGACTCAGCCCGAGGCATGTCCCTGTATGAGGTAGGCCAGCTAGACTGAGCAGGGATGGGGTAGCAGGCTGAACTATGTCTGGCAGGGCATAGGTGGGCTGGGGAGGCATCCAAGCCCAGATGGGCTTGAAGAATTTGGGGCCATATTTTTCATGGGCTCTGAGCCCTCCTAGGCCCCAGGAATGGCCAGGGCCCCAGTGGCTGAGCTAGGGGAATGTGACACCCTTGTCAGGGCAGCATGTCAGCAAGGGTCCTTGGGACAAACCAGCAGAGACCTGACAACCCTGAGGTAGAGGCTGAAAGAGTGGTATCTGACTTTGGCCAGAGGTGAGTGGGTGGGATGAAAACAGAAAACAAGTGGATTGGGCTCCCTGGCTGCTGGGGCCTGTGTGACTCCCAGTCCTGGGCCTGGTTGTCCTAGACCAGCTTGGAGGCGCTGAAGTTGACTGCAGCATTTCTTTGGCCCTAACTGAGACCAAACACCTGGCCACAAGCCTTGTGGCCCAGAAAAGGAAGGCCTTGCACCAGCAACTCTGTGAACAAAGGATCTGGTGCTCGCCCTGTAGTAGTGACAGAAGTTGCTGCAGACGCCAATTCAGTAAACCAGGCCTACGAGGCCGCAGTGGGGTAGTGGATATCACTGAACATTCTGTACCACCCACCTCCTGTCCCAGACCCCATGCACCACACTATGATGCACACAGCTGCTCAGAGTGCTCCTGAGAATTGCCTGTGACAAGGTGGCTGGGCCCTGCAGCCTGGTTCTACACTAAGTGTGGAAGAGGGAGCACATTCTTCCCAGGCATCTTCTGAGTTGGGGCACAAGCATTCCAGAGAGTAGTGAAGAACGTTCAGAATCTGGGTCCCAGGACAGAGGGCAAAGAGAATGAGCATTGAAGGTGAAGAGAACTGTCCTTCCTTAGACCCCAGGTAAAGAACAGCCTCCCAGAGCTGCTTCTATGGCAACCAGGCTGGCCTTGCAGGGAGTGGTTATGGGCACTTACGATTGCCCTGGCATGCTTGTGACTCATCAGTTCCCTTCCTTTCCATGATAAAGACATGCTCAATTGACCAATAAGCCCATCCCCTTCTCAGGCCTTAGAGGATACAGCCAACCCAGGCAAGTAGCTGTTTGCGGAAATTAAATCATTGCCTGGATTTCTCTGTAGCCAGCTTGAGCTCTCATGTGCAGGGCTTGGGACACTGGTGGGGGGTGGGCTTTGGCCTGGATGGGGCTGACCGCAGCCTACACTTGCAGGAGGAAGTGGAGGCCGAGGTGGCTGGGGAGGAACGTGGGCGCATCCTGCTGTCCCTATGCTACAGCTCTCAGCGGGGTGGCCTGCTGGTGGGTGTGCTGCGTTGTGCCCACCTGGCCCCCATGGATGCTAATGGCTACTCGGATCCTTTCGTCCGCCTGTGAGTGTAAAAGGGTGGACAGGTGGGCAGTAAGGGCAAGGTGGCTGATCCTCACCTCTCCAGGGCCACACCTGATCCACTCATTTTCCCTAGCAGTTTCCTGCATCCAAACTTGGGCAAGAAATCTAAATACAAGACCAGTGTTCGGAGGAAGACCTTGAACCCCGAGTTCAATGAGGTGAGCCAAGCATGGCCCTGGCCTGGGCCTGTTTTGGAAGTTGTGAAGAACCAACCTACTCCTTTCTGTCCGCTCCCTGCAGGAATTCTTCTATGCAGGCCCTCGTGAGGAGCTGGCCAAGAAGACGCTACTGGTGTCTGTGTGGGACTACGACCTGGGCACAGCTGATGACTTTATCGGTGAGCTGGAATGTAGCATGCTCAGGGGAGCTCCCTGGGCCCCTGCCAGCTCCTAACCTGTCTCTCCTGCAGGTGGGGTGCAGCTGAGCAGCCAGGCCAGTGGAGAGCGCCTGCACCATTGGCGAGAGTGCCTGGGCCGCAGTGACTGCCGCCTGGAGCTGTGGCACCCGCTGGACGGTGTGGCTCCCCAGCTCGGCAACTAGCTACCGGGCCTGGCTTGTGGCCTCTCCTCATCGCAGCCAGGATGACCCTGGAGTTGGCAGGAATGCTTGGGCTGCCCCAGCTGCTATACCCACCTTCTACCTTTCCCACCCCCCAAGTTTTACCTTCAACCATTCCAAATTGTGAAGCCAAAATAAATATCTTCTGGCCAGGCCAGAGCCTGTCCTTTCTCTGGCTATGGGCCCTGTCTTCCTGGCCACCACTTCACAGAGCAGACTGCCTGTTCTGTCTCCCACACTGCAGAGACCTGTGCCGGGCCAGTCTCAGCCCTCTCAAATGTCACGCCACCCTGCTTCCTACACAAAAGGAGGGAAGACACAACCATGTCTGGTAACAGGCCTCCATGAGGGGGTGTGTGGCTGGGTGAAGAGCAAAGTCATCAACAAGCTGCAACAAGAGAGTGGGGGGCACTTGCTTTAATGCCTAGCATCCCAGACAAAGGGATTCGAGACAGCAGGCCAGGGCACTGGGCTCAGGAGGCAGCCTGTTGGACCTGGTGCTGCTGGGCAAACCGCTGCATCCGATCTTCAAGCTCTACCCGGAAGTGGCGGATCAGACCCTGAGAGAGGGGTAGAGGGAGGCACTGGGTGAAGCAGAGTCCAGAAATCCCCAAGCCCTGGGCTCTTACCATGCTCACCTAGAGCCACCCAGCAGGGCAGTGAGTACCTGCACGGGCCAGGCAGCCCCATCGCCCAGAGCACAAATGGTGTGGCCCTCTATCTGCTTGCTAATCTCCCACAGGGAGTCGATCTCAGCTGGCCGCGCATCACCCTTCACGAAGCGGGCCATCACCTTGTTCATCCAATCCACACCTGCAGCCAGAGCACCAAGAGGGGACTTCTGGTCTCCCATAGTCAGGACAGGGGACAGCACTCAAGGAGGCAAGCCACATGAATGGGGGTGGAGACCACGTGAAGCCATGGGAAGCAGACCCCAGCCTGCATGAGATGCTCACCTTCGCGGCAGGGGGTACACTGGCCACAGCTCTCGTGCTTGTAGAACTCAATGAGGCGGGCAATGGCTTTCACAATGTCAGTCTGGGAGATGAGCAGCAGTAAGCAGGTGCCCAAGGCCAGACAGAAGCCTGGACCTCAGCCCCCAGCAGCAGCCTGCCCACGCAGGTTCGAGTTCTGGCCTTTTCTAGCCTCCCTGGGCCCCAGCACCGCCTGGACTTTAGGGCACTCTGCAGAGCACCTTGTGTTCTTCCTCTCCCACCCCTTGGGTATCTCAGGCTGCAAGAACTGAGACCTGAGACCTCACCAGAGGGTTTTCAGAGAGCCCCAGGGAGGGACAGCAAACAGGCTGGCATGAGGAGGACTGCATGGGGCATGAGGCCAGCCCTTACCGAGCGGTCCATGACGATCACTGCAGCCGTGCCCAGGCCTGTCTGTGCCTGCACCAGTGCATCAAAGTCCATCAGAACCGTCTCACACACAGACTTGGGGATCAGTGGGGTGGATGAGCCACCAGGGATCACAGCAAGGAGGTTGTCCCAGCCACCTGTGACACCCCCTGAGGCCCCAAGTCAGACCCCAAAAGGACAGTCAGGGCTAGGGTTAGCATACTTGCCTAGTCCTGAGCTAGGAGCTTTGTCCGGCACCCAGACCCAGCCCAGCTCCCAAGCCCCTCTCACCCTGGCTCCCTGGGCCCCAGCCTCACCAGCATGCTTCTCAATCAGCTCCTTCAGGGGCACAGACATCTCTTCTTCCACCGTGCAGGGGTGGTTGACATGGCCAGAGATGTTGAATAGTTTGGTACCCGAGTTGCGTTCTCGGCCAAAGCTTGCAAACCAGGTACCCCCACGACGGCAGATGGTGGGGGACACAGCTACCGTCTCCACATTGGCCACAGTAGTGGGGCAGCCAAACACTCCTTCAGGGAAATGAGAAGGGACTGGTGGCTGCTGGGGAGTGGGGCACGTTTCCTGGTGGTGGGTTCTGTTTCAGTTTTGCTCCTAGGCAGAGGGCCCCTGCCCTTATCGTTCTTCCCCCACCTAAACTCCAAAGAGTTGTATCACCTGTTCAGCATCACACCCCAGGGTCCCAGATCAGGTTCCAGGAAGGCAGAACGCACAGTCTGGGGGACCCTGGGTGCCTGATGTGGGTCTGAGGTACTGTGGGTAGCACTGGCTGGGGCTGCATGTTATCACTACCCCCATTTCTTGGCTGACCTCAGCCCAGAGGGTACTGAGACCATGAGAACCACCCAGGGGGTCTTGGCCAGACCCAGGATTCTGAAGGACACAGTGAGACAAGGCCCAGGTCAGGCAGGGTCTCACCCACGTCAGCCGGGAAGGGCGGCTTCAGGCGTGGTTTGCCCTGCTTGCCCTCCATGGACTCGATGAGTGCTGTTTCCTCTCCACAGATGTAGGCCCCAGCCCCACGCACCACGAACACATCAAAATCGTAACCAGAGCCACAGGCATTCTTGCCAATCAGACCTGCCTCGTAGGCCTCTCGGATGGCCACCTGTGGGACAAGGGTGTGAGTTCTCCAGCCCGCCCCTGCCCCAGGAGTCAGCCTATGCTTTCAGGATCACATGGCCCTTGAAGGTTTCCCAAGTTGAGGGTCTGGAGCATAAAGGAGAGCCCAGAGAAGGAGGCTTTGGGGGCCAAATCCTGATCAGGATGTGTGCAAGAGTGGTTACTACTCCTAGCTAGATCCTTGACAGACCAGCATAAACATCTAAGAATAGCTGTGCTGGGAAGGGGTATGCGGGCACACCCTGGATACCTTCTGTCCATCTATGCTCTCCCCACTCACCTGCAGATTGGAGGCTTCATTGTAGAATTCTCCACGGATGTAGATGTAGGCGGCACGGGCACCCATGGCCCGGCCACCGATCAGGCAGCCTTCCACCAGCTTGTGAGGATCATGGCGCAAGATCTCCCGGTCCTTGCAGGTGCCTGGCTCCCCCTCATCTGCATTCACCACCAGATACTTGGGCCTGTGGGGGCCCACAGGTCAGACAGACCACAGTTACACTAGGACTGAGCCCTAAACCACATGCCATCCCTGAACCAAAATCCAGCCTTCCCTGAGAAAGTCCGGAGAGAACTAACCCACCTACTTATAGCCCAAGAACATTTCCCCACCCCATTTATGCTGTAGTATCTAATAGCCCCAAGATGCAGGCAAACCCTGAGCACCCCCAAGGTTTCTACTGCAACCATATCCCAGTCTCTCCCCACAAACCTGCCATCTGAGGGCTTATTCATGAAGCTCCACTTGAGGCCAGTGGGGAAGCCAGCACCCCCACGACCCCGCAAGCCTGATGTCTTGATCTCACCCAGGATCCAGTCAGGCCCCTTCAGGAGAATCTCTTTTGTTTTGTACCAGTCACCTCGACTCTGGGCACCTTTCAGCCTGCACAGAATGGGGAAAGTAATGACAGGGAGGCCCCGCTATGGGACCCAGCAGAGCCAAGGGCACGGTCTCACCTCCAGTCATGGCGGCCATATAGATTGGTGAAGATGCGGTCTTCATCCTTCAGTGAGCCAAATGAGGTTTTTTTAGCCGCTGCCTGGGGAGACAGAGGGTTAGGAAGTCCAGCAGAACTCTGGGGGCAAGAGGGGTTGGGCCAGAAGCTACAGATTCTTGAGTCTTCCTGCTTAGAAGGGGCTGGTCAGGAGACAGGGCAGAGGCCTAAGCCTCAAAACTCTTTGGGGCTGGGCATGGTGGTGCATGCCTGTAATCTCAGCTGAGGCAGGAGGATCACTGCCAGTTGGAGGCCAGCCTGAACTACATAGTGAGAGCCTGTCTCAAAAAACAACAACAACAAAACAAAACAAAAACCAAATCTCTTTGAAGTATCATAATTACTACTACCACTTAAACACTTTTGTTTAGTGGGTACTGGGCTAAACATTTTATAACCCAAAATCTCAATTCATCCTCATAACAACCCTGGGACAGGAATGATTTTCTATCATTTTAAAGGGTAGAAAACTTTGGCTCAGGGTAAAAGGAACTTATGGAAGTCACACAGCCAAAGGTGCTGATGGAGTTTAAGCCCAGGACTGTCCATGGACAAAATTCACACTTGAAACATGGCATCACACTGTCTCCCTAAGACCAGTGTGATGGCATGTGCATTTGCCTGGCTCTACTGCTGCACAAAACTCGGGTTAGGCAGAGATTTTTTATTATTAATTCTGTCAAAGAGACAAGATGTATTGGCTGATAGAAAACAGGAAGGAGGGAGAGAAGGAAAGAAAAAAAGAGAAGAAAGGGAAAAGAAAAGGAAGTGGGCTCATTGGGCTGGGAAACAAATTAGGATAAAATCATCAGGTGAGGATTGGAATTTCACATGAGCTAGCAAAAACACCTGGCTGAGGGCTAAAAGGACCTGACTTTCAGACTCCCATCCCTTTAAAAGCACGTCTCAGCCACTACAGGGAGCAAAGCACTGGGGTGGGGGACTCAAGAGAAGCGCATCTCTCTCCAAAAGTGTTTTGTGCAAAAATGGGCCAACAATCCTGTCACACCCTACAAGCCTGCAAGCAAAGAATGAGAAAGTAGAATCCTTCACAACCTGCAAAACTTCCCGCTAGGCCGAGGGGCTGTTAAAGTAAGGCAGGTATCCAGACTGGGGACAGTCGGCCTTCCGTTGGGACAATTCCCTTTCTACGACCGGGCCAGAGTGGCAGCGTTCCTGCCGGGGATGGGGAGAAGGGATGGCTCTGTAGAAGGTACTACAGAACCGAGGGACCGTGAGCGCAGAGGCGCGGCGGCGAGATACGCCTGCGAACACCCTAGGTCCGCGCCAGGCCCAGCCTCACCGTGTCGCCGCTGAAACGCACAGATGATACTCGCGCGGGGAGCGACCCGCCGAGCAGCCGCCGTGCCGCCAGCATCGCGGGGCCCAAGCCAGTCACCTCCCGCTGTCACCTTCACAGCGCCGAGATGAGGGACCGGCACGACAGAAACACTAGGCGGCGCACAGGAAGAGCGTCATCTCGGATCCCGGACCCGGCGGCCCTTCCAAGCCTCCCCTGCCCGGCCCTTGATGCCCCCCCAACCAGGGCAGGGCAGTAGCGGGGGTAGATACGGAAGTGGCCTGGCTGGGGCTAGGGCTTCTGGGAGATGTAGTCTCCCCGGCCAGAGGTGCGCTGTCTCAGCGCGCGTGTACTACTGGGTCCGTCTGCTGAGCGTTCTCCTGCAGGCTCGGCCTTT